TTTTTTTTTATTCTACAAAGTTTTCAATTGTTGCTAGTTCTCTTTTTTTTTTTTTTTTTGATGTGTGCATATTTTGTATAATTATATATTTGTATGCTTCAAAATGATGAAGAACGGTATGAAGAAAATAAGTTTTTAAGATAATTTTGAACTTTTAAGATTGAATTTTAAATGACTTAAATTAATTGATAATGAAGAAAATAAGTTTAAAAATGATAATATGGTATGGTATTGGTAAAGCAAGTTTTATTATCATTAAAAACGGTTGGCAGTCATTATAAAAAAATCATCAATTAGTATGAAGTGATAACTCTTTTTCATTACCAATTAAAACAATTACCATCATTTGAATAGGCAAAAGGTACCCGTTTACCCTTAAACTTTTCGAATTTGAGGCATTTTACCCCTTATATTACAATACATGATTTTTTATCCTTCATGTTTTCGAATTTGAGGAAACGAGACAAAATTTAACGTCAGAGGGTCACGTATAGCACATGCACCGTTGCCTCCCTTATATATGCACGTGTCAGCATCAATTAAAATTTTTTTTTTACATGTTGGCAACTTATGGACCCCATTTTTGACTTATAATTTGAAAAAAAAAAAAAAGGGTATTTCTTTTCGTTAATTTCATTTCCCAATTTGTGTTTTTTCGTTGTTTTCTGATTAGATTTATGGGATCGGAAAAGGGGTTTGAGAATTGAATAAGGGATTTCATGGGGTTTGATTTGATTCATCAATTGCAAGATGTGGCGAAGAATGGAGTTTTGGCAGTGCAAACGCTGAGAAACAATATAATGGCGTCCACGGTGCTTGCGTCGACGGCGATCATGCTCAGCTCTTTGATCGTCGTTCTGATGTCGAGCGGCAACGGCAACAGGTTGGGGCTGGGTTGGTTCGACTACGGGGACAGAAGCGAGCGTGCCTTCTCCATCAAATTCTTCTCCATTCTGGCATGCTTCCTGGTGGCGTTCCTGCTCAACGTGCAGTCGATACGGTACTACAGTGACGCCAGCATCCTCATCAACGTGCCGTTCAAGAAGACATCGCCCCACCAGCGCCACCAGCAGCTGAGGGCAGATTACGTGGCGACGACGGGGAACAGGGGAAGCTATTTCTGGTCATTGGGCCTGCGGGCTTTCTACTTCTCTTTGCCTCTTTTTTTGTGGATCTTTGGTCCCATTTTAATTACCCATGAATGTCAATGATATTCTCCTTGTTTTTCTCTTATCATGGTCTTCATTTTAATTGTACACAACTGATCTCTAATTTTGCATTATTTGGAAATCTTCACTAGCATCCAAAGGATGGTAGCATTTTGTAGCTGGTCAGTTTGGTGTGGATGGAGTAAAGTGCTTGGGTAGTTTTAAGGGTCCTACTGGTTTGATTTGTATTCTTGTTGACATCATAAATTAATCAATCAAACCCCAAAATATAAACCCAGAATCTCAAAATGCTTCCTTTTTTCCCTTTTCTCCATCAAAACCCCCCCCCCCCCCAAAAAAAAAAAAGAAAAAAAATCTCTTCCTTTTCCTTCTCTTCTTCTCAATCAATAATTTTCCATGGACCAAAAACAAAAATGACGAAGAAAAAGGAGAGGAGGGGAGAGTGAGAGGAGAAGAGGGGCTGGAGAGAAATGGATTCCAGCAAGGGGAACCAAAGAGACCCTGTTGTATGATGTCCTTCTTCTAGAAAGAAAGGAGGTTCCTGTACATGAACAATCCTATCATCTACCTGTACTGCTCCTATCACCATCTTTTTCTTCATTTCTCCTTTGCTGGGTTTCCAAAAGAACCCAGCGTGCTGGGTGTGAAGGAACCCAGGCGTGGGTTCCGTCAAACCCAGCGCTTGGGTTCCAAAAATCAGTTGCATTCATCTGACTTTTTTTTTTTTTTCAAATTATAAGTCAATAAGTGGGGTCCATAAGTTGCCAACATGTAAAAAAGATCTACATTGATGCTGACATGTGCATATATAACGGAGTCCAATGGCTACACGTGACCCTCCAACGTTAAATTTTGCTTTATTTCCTTAAACTCGAAAATACGAAGGATAAAAAATCATGTATTGTAATATGAGGGGTAAAATACCTTAAATTTGAAAAGTTTAAGGGTAAACAGATACCTTTTGCTCATTTGAATACGTTACAGTTACCATAACGTACCATACCCAGCCCTACACTGCAAAGTGCAAGGCAAAAGCCTAAAAATAGCTTCTTACCTTGATAAGTTGGACGGTTTTAGCCCCTAATCTATAAGAATGGAATAAAATAGCCCTTACCTCTAACTTCTGTCCACCGTCTGTCACCTCCGTCACTTTTTCCGTTATATTTCTGTTAACTTTGTCTGGCTTATGATAAATAAAAAAATGGGAAAGGTTCTCCAAGAAGCCTGATGCTTTTTTTTTAGGAATTC